AAGCATGTTCATTGCGCCTTTGTTCAGTGTTTATGGCGCATGTGTTCATTACATTCGTGTTTATTATCTCATTCACCGCCAGACGTTTCCTGACCAATCAAGGAGTTTTCTGCCAGCAATTTTTAAAGTTTGGATTTAAAATGACGACTTTTGTCGTCAATGGCAGTGAATGAGTTAAGTGGCTCCATCCACAGTCTGACTGATCCTGTTTATGTCTGAACAACTTCTCAGTGGCCTAGTGGTATGAGTGTCCATCCTGGGAGATTTGGGTTCAGATCCCAGTCGGGTCATACCAAAGACCTTTAAAATGAGGCCCAATGTGTGGGTCTATAATACCAAATAGTTCCTGAGCTTATCACTCCTCATGAGGATGGCTCAAATACAAAGATGACTAATAGGACTAATGTATGTTGTTTGTGTGCTCTTTGACGGGTTTTACTGGGAGGCTGTTTCAATTAGGGCTGTCGCGGTAACCGCAAAAATGAAATATCGCAATATGAAGAAGCCCACCGCGCCGCATCATGGGCCACCGCGATTACTGAACTTGGTTCAACTCAATGATGCATGTTGAGAAGGATGGCTGCACTGGTATCAAAACGAAGCGTTACTTCGCTCCTTTGGGAGCACTTTGGTTTTCAGTACGTCAGCTGCTGCTCAGCCAGAGTCCTTGGCCGAGACAGAGCTGCCACCAGCGGCAAAAAAATAAATAAATAAACGCTCGGAGACCTGCTGAAGTCCCGGACAAGCACTGCTTCTGCAACCGTCCCGAAGAGAGTTTGAGCCGAGCTGGAGCTCACTCGCTACCTGCAGGAGGAATGCATCCACCCTAAAGAAACCCCCCTGACATGGTGGAGCAACAACCGGGAGAGATTCCCTTTGCTCGCCAGAGTCGCACGCAAGTACGTGTGTGTTAGTGCAACGAGCGCACCATCCGAGAGGGTTTTCAGTGTTGCTGGAAATGTTGCCACCCCTCTCAGATCCTCTCTCAAACCGTATATGGCTAACATGCTGGTTTTCCTTGTAGGTAACAAGGACGTGACCGAGCTATAAATCACCGTCATTCGTGTGAAAGTGAAAGTGAAATGATAGTGCGCCCGCCCCCCGGCGCGCGCGCGCCCGGTACATGTAATTTTTTATGCTTGATTTTAAACAACTAAACAAAATGGGGACTTGTTTCTTATTTGTTAGATGCTGCAGCCAAATTTGCATTTAAAAGTTTAACCTTCTCCTGAATTTTGTTGTTTTTAAGTTCAGTCGGACTCTGACTGTCGGAGAAACAAGCGTTACTGCGATCTGTGTTGTTACTGCCCTTTGATCTGCATTCAGTAAAGTGTTATTGAAGAAGGCACGGCAATTTTTAACCTTTTTTAAATGTGTAAACATTATGTTTAGATAGTACTGCAATAAAAAAAGGGCTGCAATAATATCGCACACCGCAATATTAAGCCACCCTGAATCACCGCAGGGGGAATTCCATAACCGCGACAGCCCTAGTTTCAATGGCAGTAAAGTTCTTCTGAAACTGCAATGAGCTGGCTGTAAAAGCTGCTAGCAAGCTAAGCATGCACAGGCAAAACTAATGGCAGATTTTTGAAGGAATAAAAAATTATATACATAAATATCCCAGCGGCTTAAAAGGCCAACTTTTAGTGCAGAAAATATGGACTGTCTGAAACTGGTGACATTTACAAACAGTTAGATATGGATTAAAAAGTCATAGCTATAATTTACCTGAGCAGGTAAAAAGACACGATGTTGAATAAAACTGACAGCTTTTAATAGGGATGGGTACATCAAGCTAAAATCACATTTTCACTTTTGTGATAAATTATTTTAATGCATTTTTTTCAACAGTTCAGCTAAATTCTTTATTTATACCTGTTGCGTGGATCAATGTAGCGGGCGGCACGTATATTCTAACAGTAATGCTATAGGAATTCAAGCTCGTGTTCAGTATTCTTTCTTATTTATTTTTGATAATGCAAAGTCACTTGCTAGGAAACTATTGGGCACATCACCACCACCTAGACATCCTTCCTGTAGCAATATTTATTTTAACGTATACCTATAATCATTCTTTAAATATTCAGAAGCATTTCCTGATTACTAGTTTCCATATTAAAAACCATACAGGCCCAAACATTTGTTTACCACATCTCATTATTTTAATATTTTTTGTGTGTTACACATTTTTTCAAAAGGAAACGAGAAAAAGTTACTTTGTACTCAAACCCATTGGTACTAAGAACTAGTCTTTTTTGAAAAATCGGCTAGTGTGTAGCCATAGTCTGGCGGGGAACTTTGCACCAGAAAGCTTGAATGGCTACCCTTAGTCGCCTGCATAGATTTAAATTCATTGATACTAGCCTTCAAAGTCCTGACTAGATCAGCTCATACTTGAATCCTCTATAAAGGCTCACATCACGACTTGACCACTCCAGTCATCCAAGGGTTGCCAGCAAGCAGTGTCTACTCCAGGCTCTTATTTAGCATTGATCCAGGATCGTGGAAAAGGACCAGAACATTGGTTATCTGTGTCATTCTTAAAGACCAAGTTCACAGAAAAATCATAATTTTTTTTACTTTTGTTTATTCTATTGGTCACTTTGAGTTTCACATGCAGGCTAAACATGAAAAAGTAACCTTTTTTTTCTGCATTAGCCGCCGATAGAAATAAAAAAGCCTGGAAATGATCGAAGTGGAAAAGCCAGTCACATTTACGTCTCACTGAAAACTGGCATTCATGAGCTCACCCATGCTGGCTCACAACCGGGGAAGGCTGTTGTTAATTTGGCAACTTCTTCTTGCATCCAGGCTAGTAGAAGCTAATTGTTAGCTTTAGCAACTCCACAGCATGGCCAAACTTGTTCAGGCTTGTGTTTTTAGTGGAGATAAATCATCAGCGTTGCAATTTTTTTGTGGAGATCAACTCACAAGGCATACAAATGTATAAAAAATGAACGAACTTGGTCTTTATTGCCCCAGTTCTACAGAGAGTATATTCTAAACTTGCACTTCCATTCTCCTACTCTACTGCACTCTCTTTGTGCACTTCCCCCTACGTGCTTACTACATTTTCTACAATGTTACCCTCGTCAATTCTTAGGAGCTTATTGCTAGCGTAAAGGGTAACTGCCTTTCCCATTTGGATAAAAAGGTCTGGAAATGAGGTCAAATAAAAATAAAGTAATTAAAAGGACAATTTGAGTAGACAGCATAAGAAATAGTAAAGTGGATCCTGTGGTAGAAAGAATTCAGTTACAGTTTTACTTGACAGAATACCAGTCTAAATGGGAGACATGCACACCAGCACACTATCCCAGTCAGACTAATGACGTAGATGAAGCCATTTGAAAGAATCTATATGTATCAGTTAGTCCGTTCGTGTTGGCATTGATTAGTCAGCAGACAGCTCAATACTTGTCTCTAGATTTCTTTTTACACCCATCTGTTTTCTTCTGTCTACTTCCTTTTTCGTCTTCAACCCACCATCAATCACTAATCAACTGACAGCAATCAAGCGAATGTTTGGATTAGTAAGGGCATATTTGTTCAAATGTTTGTCTCAACTACATCTGCGGGTTTAGTCTTAACGGCCCGTTGTGCAGGATCGTTCCATAGAGCAGTGCAGGGTGACTTACAAGTGAAGTGACATTTAGAAGCCATTTTTATTCCGTCGTTTTGGGAGGGGTTGTTGAGAAACTTGATTCATCAGAGCACAGGACGGTTTTTCCATTCAGCTCAATCCGTATCAAATAAGTTCAGGCCAAGAGAAGGTCATGGCATTTCTAGATCTTACATAATAGAATTTTAACTTGAATTTCTGGGTTCAGCCATGACAGGTGTTTACAGGAAATGGATTTTTGGAGTGTTCCTGAAGCATGCTCATAACTTCTACATCTGAATTTTGTCTGTTATTGAGAAGCTGCTGCCTAAGTTCCCAACACTTACAGTGATATTTAGTATTAGAAAGAATAATAATTTTGCGTGATGAGGGTAGAAAACTACCAGAATTTGTGAAGTATTTATTTTTTTAGCTGAATAAAAACTATGTAAAGTATGAAAATTATGTTTTTTCATTCTCTGTGAGGAAATCTTTTTTCATTAATCACTTAAAGACGTGGTTCCCTGAAAACCCATTTTATGATTGTTTTTATAGTTAGTCACTCTGAGTTTTCCATGCAGGCAGAACTTGCAAATAGTCTCCTACACCTTTCTCCTTAGTAGCATGTTCACCACACAGCAGAAGCTCCTCCAGACTCTTATTTGTGGAGATAAAACATCCACGTTGCAAGTCTGGTAGAGTTGCATTGCTGTTATCAAATCTGGGGCGAGATGTCCACATATAAGCAAATAAGACTCCAGAACCTGCCTTCTGAAGCTCAGTTGCGATGTAGGTAACTTTTAGTTCCAAGAAAAGATGCACCAGTATAGCCCCCCCCCCCCCCCCTCCCCCAGAATGACTTACAAGGCATGCATTCTTACTATAGACAACTGCAAATGTATTGATTAAACAAGTGAAACACCCTTTTAATAACTAACATTTAATTATTGTTCAATTATTGCTCCCTTTGTTCGGAGAGAGCCCGACTCTTGTGAAAGCACCAATAAACTGTTTCTATCTCTCCTTTTTAATGATATATTTTCATCCAACCACAATCATATTCAATTACCAATTATGTTATTTACTTTTTATGTGACACTGACATTCAGTTAAACTAATATTTGTCTGTTTGAAAATGCTAGTTTCAAAAATGCTTAATTACATGCCAATGTTATATTTATTTGGATGGATTTCTATAAAACATAGTGAAAAGCTTCTGCAGGGGGATCTGATTTCATTTCTGCATATCTAATTTTAAAACGGACTCTGGCAGTTGTTTCACTTCTTATTGTTTTTCTAAGATGCATCAGAAACTTTAGTGTTTCCCTGTTGCGTTTGTAACACTGTGATTGTGTTTTGTAACATTCATAATGTTAACCTCGTGCCTCTCTTGCAGTTCGACTGATGAGCAGTTCCGCTGGAATACCCAAGGTAAAATTCTCACTTATTTTAATCCCGTTCCCACACACATATGTGTCTTTGACACCTACAAAACCAACCAAAGTGCATCCACAAGGCTACTTACAATTAGTGTTTTACTGATTCTCACAAGGAAAATAGAACTACTTATTCTCTAGAAACATATATTTGTGCAAAAATGCTTCTTAAGAGAAAAACAGAAAGAACCATGTCACTTTGTGTTAATCTGCATGTAAAAAAGCACACGCATAGATGTCTTTTCCTGATTTGTTCACTTGTGACTTGCTGCTTACATGTGCAAAACTTTAAAAAAGAATTTAAATCCAGTCAGACAGCTCTCAGAGTCGATTCTCTGTGACCTGTCCACAATAAAAATATCTTGCATCTCATAGTCACATTCCATTGGGTAGGAGACTATTATGGTAGAAGATGCAGTTTAGTGTCCAGAAAAATCCGTCTTTCTCTTGACTAATTTCTTCTTTCCGTGTTTTTTTTTCCTGTATTTCTGGATGTGGCTCTTTTCTCTTCTACAGCAGATGGACACAAAGATATTGAGGATGAGTTGACCACAGGTTTAGAGCTCGTTGATTCCTGCATTCGCTCCCTTCAGGAATCGGGAATACTGGACAGTGGAGAACGTAAGTAAATCTTTAGGCACCAGTGTCTGATATAATTTGATTATTGTATTTATTCGTGCATTATTTGTTTTAGTCCTTTGGCAGCTTATTGTCATGCAATTAACATAACTTGAGCGCACCACAGGTCTAAATGGTTTAAACCAAGTGGGTCCAGCCCTGGTCCTGGAGGGCCGGTTTCCAGCATGTTTCAGTGGTTTCCCTGCTCCAACATACTTGATTCAGTGGTTGGATCACCTGTTCAGCATGCCGTCCAGCTCTGTAGAAGCCTGTTAATCACCTGCTGATTAAAATCAAGTGTGTTGAAGCAGGGAAAGAACTAAAACATGCTGGATACTGGCCCTCCAGGACCAGGATTGGGCACCCCGGTTTTACCTTTAATTCACATTTTCTCTGGAAGAGTTTTAATTTCTTTCCCAGATTTCTGATAATCTTGGACTTGTATATGCAGTTGAATGGCTATCACTTGTGATTTAAGAATATTTTGTTATTCCAACAATTCATCTTGAAATGAAATAGTTGTCCTCAAAGAGAGTCGGTCTAAAATAGTTGTACCAAAAATACAACATGTAGGGCATCTCAATGGAAGCACAGCAAAAGAACCACTAAGAGGACCCGGTGTCTGAGTGCATCTATATAATAAAGGTAATCAGCAATAATTTAACTAAATGTGGGACTGCTTGCCATAAACTGTGTGTAGTGATTGGTGATTAGAAAAACAATGCAATTCAGTGCCAAAAATAACTGTTGTTTAGTAAATAAATGTAGCTAAAGCCAAGTTTAAAAGTTTGAAAAAAAAAATTCCAACAGCTTTATAAAACATGCAGTTAATATTAACAAAAATATGATTTTGCAGGCTGGAGTTCTTGATTCGGTCAACCCATTGGCAAGATTACAAACAATACATGAATAAATAAACTAAAATCTTCATCTCTCCTTCTGCTCTTAGAAACGATAAAGGCATGACTTCTTGATGACCTAAACCATGTTCACTACGTTGTCTTTGCAGTATATGTTAATGTAACTTTTGTTATTTGTATATTCAACTTAAATCTTTAATTTAATCCCATTAAGGCCTTAAGTACATTGAACATACTCAGCTGCATCAATTCAACTAATTCTTCATTACTTAAAAAATTTAAGGCAACGGGTTACCTTGGTTTTTTTTAAGTAGACTGAACTTATCGGGGTTTACAGTGATATCAAGACATGATGTAACGTCAAGGTTCTCTCAGTTGTCCCCTGTTAAAAGGGACAAAAGGCCCGTTTCCACTACCGGAACCTCCATGTAATTTTATCAAACCTTTGTGTCTCTCTTTCACCGGGCCAGCACAAGCGGACCAATCTCTGGGTCATTTCAGGAACCAATAGAGTACCTGAACTCTGAAAGGCCTACACTGTAAAAAATTCCAAGTTGACTCAACTTAAAATAATTTGTAACCTCGCTGCCTTAAAATTTTGATTAACGCTAGCAAATCATATTGAGTAATGTCAACAAACTAGTAAGTTTCTTCAACTTATGGGATAAAGTTCACATAGCTTATTTTCTTTTGTTGAATAAATTTTCTTTTTTCAGTCAGACCAACTAATATTTTAGTTCTATCAACCACATAATCTAAGTAACTTTTACAAACCTTTGATTCAGGCTAACAAATTATTTAAAGTAATTTCAACTCACATCCAAGTTGAAATTACTTTAAATAATTTGTTTGCCTGATGTACAAGTTAGTTGATATTACCTGAAATTATTTGTTTGCCTGATTTATAAAGTAGTAGAAATTACCTGAAATTTTTTGTTTGCCTGATTTATGTTAGTTGAAATGACTTGAAATAATTTGCTAGCCTTAATCAAAATATTAAGGCAGCAAGGTTACAAATTATTTTAAGTTGAGTCAACTTGACAATTTTTTTTATATGTTTCAAAAAGATCCACTCTTAACTTCTGTTTTTGAGGATTCAAAATGTTTTAAAATATAAATAAAAACCAAATGCTTCTTTGGGTCAATTTCTAGAGATTTATTTTAAAAACATCTATTTTAACATTTAGAACTCATTTCAAAACACCAAGTTTTTTTTAACATCCTCACAAGAATCCTGTTCAACCATATTTAAACACTATTCTACTATAGTAGAAGTGCTGTGTGGGACTACGGTTAACAGGGCTGAGGTTAACTAATGCTGGCTGGTTGTAACTTAGTAGGAAATGATATTGGCAGAGGTCCCCAAACAACCAGCATTTGTAAAATTGGAAGAGTTGCTGGTGAAGTGGAATGGAAGGGAAAGAAAATAAGCAGCATTGATGCTGCTTTATAATGTCTCTAAACTCCCAGCACTGAAAACATGGCAGAAATCCCTCCATAGCCGGCATAGTTTACTGTGCTGTATCGTTTTTAAAGAGCCTCTTAATGAAACGGCGCTTTATCTGGTCCTGAACGTCGCTTTTTACATTCCACGTCTCCTGGTCTCCTGAGTAGATTAAATTACTTTCATATAATAAAAGTTTTTATCTGATTAGTGTCCATGATGCCTTTAGGCGCTGATTGAAATAATATTAAGGTCCTTAAAGCTGCAATGGAAAATGTGTAAAACAAAAAAGCTTCAAACATATTTTTTTATGCCTCAATGTTTTAACTTAGTATAGCTATAAAAATATTGTGGAGATTAAAATAAACAAATTAATTTAAATAAATTAATAAATAAAGTGGTTCTCTCGCATTCCCAAAAACCTCCACTGCTAACATGCGTCGGACCTAAAGCGACTATCGGGCCATCTGTTTGTCCGTCTCGCCAAACCGCCGCAGTTCTGCTCTTCCCTGGGTTTTCCATTTATTACACACGCATGCATTTAGCACCAGAACATCACTGCTGTGAGAGATTCTTGGCTCAAAAATGTCAGAGGAGAAACAGCCGCTTCAACTTTAGGACAAACTACCCGAGTCTATAAAAGAAAAACACCAACAAAGACACTGGACCTAGAAAACGGCGACTGGTGTTTAGCACTATCTTGTTTCGTCCAGCATCGCAGGTTTCCGGTTCCAGCAGAAGTGCCTCAGGAAAGATACCCAAGGGGAGGGGTGAGTGTTCCATGACCATGTTTGCAATCAAACCCTAGCTTGTTTGCAGATTTGTTACACCATGCTTTAAGATGATAGACACAACGACTGAAAGGACCGAGCCATCGTGCTTTCCTTGTCACCTTTCTCCACTCCCAGACATTTGGGAAACTCCTTTAGCAGAAACACGGCTAATTGTCTCCTGAGAAAGCGTACCCTCTGCTGAGCCTTCCACGCCAGGTGTGTTGTGTTTGGGATTCCAGGAGAGATCCTCAGTGATGTAGACTCAGCACACAGAGGAAATCCACTCATGTGCTGCAGGAAATGATCAGCCCACAGTCAGGACAGGTTGTTGGCCCAACACCAGCTCACTAATTGTTCCATCTGTCATTCGTAACATATTTCATCATCATTACTAGTTAGTCTCACTACTGTACTTTGCTGGTGCAACAATGCTCTAGAGGAGGGTGTTGGAGATTTTTATAACAACACCTGCTAGCTCAGCAGCACAGCTATTTACAATGCAAGAAATGGGGGTTGTGCTGCTCCATGCTTGTAGACTTCCCCCTAGTTACCGAATGCCTCAAAGCATTTATTCAGTTTGACTCAGAAGGAGGCCTTAGTGACCTCCGCTTGTGATTTCTGTGCTTGCAGCACAGATCTGAAATATTACAGTTACATCTTCGGCTAACACCCTGACCTGCTTTTCCACAGCCTGACTTCATCTTAATACCGTTAGGATCTGCATCGCCAAGATTAATGTTGGACAGCAACTCATGTGTTTTAGCTATTCCGGTTGGAGTGTGGAGAAACCAGGGATATTTGGGCTGAGCAGAAATCTCCAGCAACCCTAATAAAACTGTCAGGGTAAACTGTTTGAAGGTTACTGATGAAGCTCAGTGATGGCATTAAATGATCCACCCAGGGCGTGCTTGGTGTTCTCGTGGAGAGAAACGTAAAGCCACAACTGTAGTGGAAATGCAATCTTCGTTCCTAGAGGAGGCCGCTTTTATACTTCTCTAGTTATGAATAGTGAGGAGTAGTTACGCTGTTGCTGCATACACGCATACCTGCTGGTTTCACCTGAGCTTGTCATTTTTTATCACCCAGTTGGATTGCTGAATCATAGATGTCCCCACGAAGCAGGTTTTAGGTATAACCAATACACCAGTCATTCTCTTTTTAAACCATCAGAGGAAGTCAAATGATTCAATACTCAATTTTATTTAGTAATAATTACCAAGTAACATTGTCAGCGGTGTCAGTCTGTCAGATTTGAGCCTTGTACAGAAACCAGGTCATTCCTTCACTCTTGTTTCCATGGACACATTGTCCACTGGTCAGCTTTGTTGAACAGATAAGAGGTCTGCTGTTGTTTAAAAGGGGAATTATATGTAAAGTACTTGTTATTTTAGAAATACGATTGGTCTCACTGAGTTTCACATGCAGACTCGCCCATCTTGGCCGGGGGCGTCATTTATCAACCGTACGCACGCACAGATATGTGTATAATTCGCGCGTAGGAATTAATATACGCATTGTGTGGTATTCTTTATTTTTTTGTACTTGTGTGTGGAAATTTTCCTAAATGTAAGAAATCGTCAGACCATGCGTACGAACAGCATCCAGAATGGGGGAACCGTAATGCTGAACATCTCAGTCGTCCACACGTTCCTCAACCACAAATTATTTTACCCAATAAATAATTATTTTGGTGGAAAAACAGCTAACTGGTGCTGAAATCTATAAAAGACACGTGTGACTAGGGATGAGTGCCGAATTCGGTACTTTTTAAGGCACCGACCGAATTCCATAGTACCGACTGAGTACCGATTCATGTCATATGAAAGGTGCCTTGTTTCGGTACTTGTGCCACGCGCAAGAGCGTAACGTCGTCAGTCACTGTGGGCGAGCTGTAAACAAAGAGAGGAAGCGTTCTGAAGTTTTGGCCCACTTCACTAAATGTGATGGGCTGTTGGTTGATGATGAAACCAGCGATAAAGATCTGAGGATGAGGCATCTTAATCTGCTCCAGCAGCTAAATAAACTGTTTAAGATAACGTTAGCACGACAGTTTAGTTTCTGTTTTACATAGCTAATGGTGCGTTCACTTTCTCCTCGGAAATTCCAACTTCTGAGTAGGAAAAATTAACAGTTTGAAAATGAAAGGCAAAAGGAACGAAGATACACAGTAAATTTAGTTCACAGCAAAGATGTTTGCTTCAGTGTAATTTGTAGTTTATAAAACTACAAGGACCCACCTTCACACAGTTTGTCCAGATGAAAAAGGAGAGGAAAAGGAGTACATGGAGCTGGTTTAGTTTGTGGAACACCAAAATATTATAATACAAACTGTTGTACGGTATCGACGTTTGCTTTAGTTTCATTTGTAGTTTATAACACATGGTCTCCTCATCAGAGTTATTCCAGAGGGCATAGAATGGAACTGGGTTAGTTTTTGCATCATTTAGAAACAGTTGTTAAAGGTTTTCATGATGAAGAATTTCATACAACACTACGATGAAAAAATACAAACAGTTGTATGTTATTATCATGATATTTATCAAATATGGTTATATATTGAAAAAAAAATATATGCAATTAAAAAAAGTGATTTAAATAATTATTAAACACTCAAAAGTATCAAAAATTGGTACCGTTAAGTACCGGTATTGATTCGTAGGTACAGGGAATAGGCACAGTATCGATTCAAATGTCAAAGGTACCCATCCCTACTTTTGACCGACAGACAATGTACCATAAATGATCTTGTGCACATTCAGGGTTTTCGTTTGTGGAGATAAAATATCAGCGTTGCATTTTTTACCCAAGAAAGCAGAGTGAACTGACACAGTGGAAGAGTTAGCCAATCAAAAGTGAGATATCTGAATGTCATTATTATCATTGAGTACAACTCCAAATCCTGTTGTTTTCTGCCCTCTCTCTTCCAATTAGTTTCAACATCCACAAACAGAAGCGCTAGAGCTTTTTTTCCCCCAAAGGCTCTCTAGGCATTCATTCATACCAAACCACAGCAGTTTTAGTGATAGAACACGCATTGGCTCACTCTAGTTCTGAATTACAAACAAACCCAGCATGTACTTCCTGGAGTTCCTGCTAGACAACTGTGTCAAATTGTGTTTTTCAGCTTCTGATACAAAACAGCACCAAACAATAAATCAAAGGGTGGATGTGATCTTTGAAGTCTAGTTAAATGGGCATGGCATTTTCTGATCAGGTCACTGGTTTTGGAACACTGCATTCCCATTTCACTTGTCTGCTGACCTTTTAGATGGGTGATATTGATGTAATGAATGACATTTTAAGAACCGCACCTTTCAGTATTTCATAGTGAGCATGTATTCTTTTTTCTTCATATGTGAATATCACAGATTAAATGACAGCAAAAAGACAAACTTCGAGAATCTTGGAAAACAAATTTTGGAACATTTGCTTCATAAATGATAATTGATGAGTCAGATAATGATTAGTATCTCATTACAGGAAGTGCTGGAGTCTGCGTCACTGTTGGCCAAATCGTCTTTGAGCACTTTAAGCGAATTCAAGGCTCAGAAACATTTGATCTGGCTTTTTTCCCAGCACTGTAAATTGTTCTGCTGTAAACAAATGAAGTGGTGACACATTAATATCTTTATTGAATAGATCTTAGAACAACGAAGCGTCTATTTTTTTTGGCTGCGGCTGGGGTTGTAAGGTATCAAGTGGAGTGACACAGCAAACAATTAATTTTGCTGAGACGCAAAAGAAAATGTTGTCGTCAAGCCAATTACCATCTCAATGCCAACCTTCTTACAGAGCTCCAGTTTTTAAATGAGCAAGCTACGTGTGTTTATACAAGCTCTGCTATTAGCTGTGTGTCTGACATCAGTCAGCCTCATTCTCAGCAGGCAAACACACATTGCATTTTGAATGTGGCTTTCAAAAATGTGTTCAGGAAATCTTAAAAATACCAAATAATCAAAAAGCTAGGTACTTCTCAATATGGACTTCAGCAGCAAATCTGCAGCCCCGTGCATTTTGAATTGCATGGAGCTGATTAACATGGGCTGCATGGTGGCGCAGTGGTTAGCACTGTTGCCTCGCAGCACGAAGGTTGCAGGTTCGAAACTCGGCTGCGGCCTTTCTGTGTGGAGTTGCGTGCTCTCCCCACGCCTGCGTGGGTTTCCTCCGGGTACTCCGGTTTCTCCCACAGATCACAAAAAGCCCTATAGGTTATAAATTGTAAGTCGCTTTGGATAAAAGTGTCTGCTAAATGAATAAACATAAACATTAGAAAATTGCATAGAGCGTGTATGCAGAGCTGGCGACATTTATGGACAAGTAAAAAAAAAAAGATCTATATATATATATATAATTTTATATATTTAAAATTTTATGTAATATTAACAATATTTAAACATCATAATGCGAGAAAAACAATTGTAAAACAATGTGATTTCATTTTGTTTCCCGGTTAGAGACTGTTATGATCATAATTACAGAAATAGGGAGAGGGACGTAAAATGCAGAACATTTTGTCCCCTCTAGATGGTGCCCTCTAAGAAAAAAACTCTGGATTTCTGCTTTAGTGAATACGTGTGAAGATGAATAAGTACAAACAAATAAATAAATAATTGATTGTTTTAAATGTTTTGTTTTTGTTTGATTTAAAAAGTGTGCAGGGCTTTAATTAGATTTGCTGTATCTTTACGTCGCTAGATGTTTGTTTCAAATCAAAGACCAAAACATTTTTTCAAGTCTCAAAGATGAACAGTTTTAATGTCAACAGGTGAGCATTGTTTCAACTCTGTTTTGGCTGTTTTTGAAGAATATTTGAGACATTTGTTAATACATTATTACTCAACATGGTGGTGGTTGTGGCATGATGTGGAATTTAGGCCTTAAACATTAAGATCTGATCCTTTAGTGCCTCGGTCCTTTTTGTGTCACTGCTCCAACACACCTGATTTGAGTTGGGCAGTGACTAACAGCCTTTAATAGAATCAGATGTGTAGAAGAAGGCAGGGTGGTTGCCCTTGAGGATCAGTGGTGTAGCCCACTCTCTTCAAACACGTGATGAATTATAGGTGGTGATAAATCTGTATAAAAATAAACATATGCAAACATTTGCTGCTCTCAGAAACAATGTTTGCAATATTTTCCCCAAATATTAATAGATTAATGATTTATTTAGTTAAATTAATGCATTTTTCTAATAAACGAAAAAAATGTGTTTGCAACAAAACAAAAATCTGGAAATTAGAATTTTGTATTACCACTCAATAGCTAATCACAGATGCTGTTTAGCCTGATGAATAATAATTTATTAGAACACCATGTGGAAAACAGCAAAACAAAACTAACAGAAATGTCACATTTCCATCACTAATGATTCAATAACACCATTTTTCCACCTTTCTCTAAATCAAGGCTCCTAATTTTGTCTATTCTATCTTACTACCTTTGCTATTTGACCATTTATCTGAATTGAAATTCCAGCTAAAATTTAAAACTTGCAGAAACAAACGATTTTAGTTTCTGTTACACAACACAAACAGCAAGTCTGCGTGATGATGAGTCTGGAACTCCTACAGTGACTGCGTAACACAAAAAGGACTGTTTAATAATTCATAAAAACCCAGGAATAAATCAGATGAGAGAAGGCAAGTCTTGTGAAGGCAAGAGCTCGGCTAAGGAGTTGATCCTGACTCACAGCACAGACTCTCACAGGGAGGAGAGGATCCTGAGGGGAGGAGTGATGTAGAGCAAGCAAACAAATGTGAGAGGAGAACGAGGAATGACAATGGTATTTTAGGTATTTATGACTTTTGTGTGTTAAACAAAGGCAACCACTCAGACGGCTAGAATTTATGGGGGCGTGTTTATTAAATTTAGATGATGGAGTGATGTTTTTAAAGTGATCCCAGCTCATAATTTCTACCCTTTTGTGTTCTAAAGTTAAAATTTTCAAAATTCTGCGGTAGAAAATCCTCTTATGTAACACCTCTACACACACACACACACACACACACACACACACACACTGCTGAGTGCTGAGAGGATTATACCATTTCTCTCAGGTTTAACACGTCACTCCAGACAGAATTTAGAATATAGTCCAACTTAAAACCTGTCGGATGACGTTCTTATTCCCGATCGATACGGTTAAATGCACGGAGGATGCTGCGTGATCATTTGCTGGTCCAGCAGTGACTGCATCAAGTGCTAAGCTGCTAGGTCTTTCATCTATCACAACTTTTCTTCTGAACCTCCCTCCTCCCTTCTACATCTCCCCACTCCCCCTTCTCTCCCTATTCTGTGTTCCTCTGTTTCTCCCTTCCTCTGCTAATAAATTATGTATGCCATCTCCAACTCACAGAGTGCTGCACTGCTGCACTATCTGCTCTAAATTGCTGCTCTCCCTCTTCCCCATTTCACTCTTTGCCTCTCAATCTCTCCCCTTCACGCCTCCTCTCTTTCTCACTCTTAATCTGTCACTCTCTCTTTCTCACCCACAAACTCTATTGAACCCCCTCCCCATCCAACTGTACACCATTCTTGTCTCAATTGGTAGGACCGGCTCTTCTTTCCCAGAGTTCCTTGCAGCTCAACTCCACTCCGGAGGCTTCGCTCCAGTACTCTGCCAGCTACCATAGCAACCAGACCCTCGCCCTCAGCGACAGCATCTCTGCAGCAACGCCTCAGCGCGGGGGGCAGGTTGGAGGAGCCGTGCACAGCTACAACCAGGTAAGAAACGGTCCTGGAAGGAGAGCGCGATGAGGATGCAATTGTTGAAAATGATGAAAGTATAACTATAAGGGCTGGCATTTCATTTGAACTTAAGCATGTTCCTATGGACTTTTGATCTGTGCAGATGCATGCTCGGTTAAAAAAAAGGCTCCACTTATGAGTTTGGGTTCTCCGCAGTTTGAAAGTGCAGCATGATGAAAGTTTTCATGAACAGAAATCCATTTATTAAACCTAAGCCGTTTCTTTTTAGGTGATCCTTTACATGCCTCTTTTTAAAAATATAGCAAAAGAAAGACAAATATTAGAGAAAGGCAGGTAATCAGAAGCCTAGACACTAACAGGGGAAAAATAAAGAATTAAACACACGCAGAGAAGCTCATCAAGTAAATTGTTTCAGAGGAATTTGGAAAAAAGCTAGACACAAAGTCAAATATGAATCGCAGCAGCGTGCCGCTAAAGAGAAGATGCACCTAATTACTCTACAGCCCACAGCAGCCAATTATTTCCAATTTTCAAGTCCCCAACACATCAGTGGTACCAATACTGCAAACACACACACACTCAAACTCGCAGACACCCACGCATCTGCTTAATCAGTGAGCAGCTGCAGTGCTTCATTAAAAAAGATTTCCACTGTCTGGAACAAATGTTTCGTTTGTGATGGAGGATTATGGAATAAAAGTAAATGAAATCCCTTAGATGGGTGATTTTTAACCACCTTTCAGACACCTTTTCATGTATCGCACACAATTTCCACGAGGCTTTTGCTGTGTTTGCTGACGTAAGACACAGAACTGGCGACTGCTTTTACTTTCCACTTGTGTCAGCACATTTCAGAGCTGGTTCCACGTGAAGCTTGAGATGCTTTTCTGTCTGAATTTGAAATACGGGAGGATGATTTAGAAAAAATCTGAAAAGGATGTACAGTGGTGTGAAAAACTATTTGCCCCCTTCCTGATTTCTTATTCTTTTGCATGTTTGTCACACAAAATGTTTCTGATCAAACACATTTAACCATTCGTCAAAGGTAACACAAGTAAACACAAAATGCAGTTTTGAAATGATGGTTTTTATTATTTAGGAAGAGAACAAAATCCAAACCTACATCCCCCTGTGTGAAAAAGTAACTGCACCCCTGAACCTAATAACTGGTTGGGCCTCCCTTAGCAGCAATAACTGCAATCAAGCGTTTGCGATAACTTGCTACGAGTCTTTGGAGTGCTCTGGAGAAATTTTGGCCCACTCATCTTTGCAGAATTGTTGTAATTCAGCTTTATTTGAGGGTTTTCTAGCATGAACCACCGTTTTAAGGTCATGCCATAGCATCTCAATGGGGTTCAGGTCAGGACTTTGACTAGGCCACTCCAGAGTCTTCATTTTGTTATTCTTCAGCCATTCAGAGGTGGATTTGCTGGTGTGTTTTGGGTCATTGTCCTGCTGCAGCACCCAAGATCGCTTCAGCTTTAGTTGACCAACAGATGGCCGGACGTTCTCCTTCAGGATGTTTTGGTGGACAGTAGAATTCATGGTTCCATTTATCACAGCAAGCCTTCCAGTTCCTGAAGCAGCAAAACAACCCCAGACCATCACACTACCACCACCATATTTTACTGTTGGTATGATGTTCTTTGTCTGAAATGCCGTGTTACTTCTACACCAGATGTAACGGGTCATTTGCCTTCCAAAAAGTTCAACTTTTGTCTCATCAGTCCACAAGGTATTTTCCCAAAAGTCTTGGCAATCATTGAGATGTTTCTTAGCAAAATTGAGACGAGCCCTAATGTTATTTTTGCTTAACAGTGGTTTGGAAATCTGCCATGCAGGCCATTTTTGCCCAGTCCCTTTCTTATGGTGGAGTCGTGAACACTTGTCATGTTTGGGGAAAGGCTCCTAACCCAAGACAGAGACTCTCTCGGTCAGCTTGCTTCCCACACCAAACCTTCCATCAGGAATCTTGGCGTGACCTTTGACCCAGCTCTCACCCTGGATTCTCATGTCAGATCACTTGTTCGCTCTTCCTTCTTCCATCTCAGGAACATTGCTAAGCTGAGTCCCATTCTATCCCGCTCTGACCTTGAGACAGTTCTCCACACCTTCATCTCCTCACGCTTAGACTACTGTAACTCTCTTTTCACGTGTCTGAGCAGAACCTCCCTGAACCGTCTACAGGTGGTTCAGAACGCCTGTGCTCGGCTTCTGACCAAGTCCTCCAAACACACCCACATCACCCCGCTTCTCCTCCAGCTCCACTGGCTGCCAGTCAACTTCAGGGTTCATTTCAAGATCCTGGTTCTGGTCTATAGGGCCTTACATGGACAAGCACCATCTTACATTGGTGATCTTCTCAGTCCCTACACCCCCAGCAGGTCCCTGAGGTCCAGTGACCAAAGCCTACTGGTTGTGCAGCACCAGGCTAAAGACCAAAGGTGACATATCATTTGCTGCTGTGGCCCCCAGACTCTGGACCTCTCTCCCCCTCAGCCTGAGATCAGTGGACTCAGTGGTCTCCTTTAAACAGCAGCTGAAGACTCACTTGTTCAAGCTGGCTTTGTATGACCTTCTTCACCGCTCTCTCTTTATTCTGCTCTCCCCACCTATTCGACCTTCCTCAGGATCCACTGATTTCCCTCTTTCCTGTTCACTCTCTTTCTTAACATTTTTTTAATCACAATTGCCTATTTTTGCTCATTTTAAATATATTTTTAAACATTTTCTAACTGCTTTTTAAAATTTTTACAATTTTTGTTTTTGAAAAGCGCCTCGTGATTTTTATCTTGAGAGACGCTATAGAAATTATTTCTTCTTCTTCTTCTTCTTGCCATTTGTGGATAACGGCTCTCACTGTGTTTCGCTGGAGTCCCAAAGCTTTAGAAATGGCTTTATAACCTTTACCAGACCGATAGATCTCCATTACTTTTGTTCTCATTTGTTCTTGAATTTCTTTGGATCTTGGCATGATGTCTAGCTTTTGAGGTGCTTCTGGTCTACTTCTCTGTGTCAGGCAGCTCATATTTAAGTGATTTCTTGATTCAAACAGGTGTGGCAGTAATCAGGCTTGGGGGTGTTTACAGAAATTGAACTCAGGTGTGAAACACCCCAGTTGGGTTATTTTTTAACAACGGGGTCAATAACCTTTTCACACAGGGCAATGTAGGTTTGGATTTTGTTCTCTCCCTAAATAATAAAATCATCATTTCAAAACTGCATTTTGTGTTTACTTGAGTTATCTTTGACTAATGGTTAAACGTGTTTGATGAACAGAAACATTTTGTGTGACAAACATGCAAAAGAATAATCAGGAAGGGGGCAAATAGTTTTTCACACCACTGTAGATGGACGGATACTTAGAGGAAAAAAAGGATGTTTTCCTGTGTCTGCAGAGTCCCTGTCCTCCTTTTCTATCTCCTGACCTCCTTCGCTGTCCTTTCTCCTCACCATCTCTTTCCATGTGTGTGTGTGTGTGTGTGTTCCTCTGATGTTTTGGTCTTGTCAGTGTAACGGGGATACTGCTGTCAGCAGAGCTTGTTGCTCATGAATAGCTTCATGTATGCCAGGGATGTGATATAGGGAGGCATAGCTTGCATGCATGTATAAGACGTGAATTGCTGGTATGTTTTGCACCTGGTTAAGAGGATATCTGCGGTTATTGCTCTATTTTAATCACACGTGTGCATAGATGCACTGCTCTTTTGAAGTGTGCACGAGTGATGGTTTGAAGAAGGAGAGAGCAACAGAAAGGTCTCGCACGTTGGTTCTCTTTTGTAGGATATTTTTATCCCTGAGTGGTCGTGCTTTAATAATAAATGGATACATGGCACCTCAAACATCCTGGTCTTTTACTGGGAGGGAAAATAAGCGGCGATACAGGGTGGCTTCCAGCGGAATCACCTCACAGTGTGTCAGTGTCGTCCAGCCATCCATCATTTATTCACTCATCTATTTACTTCTTGATCCTTTCATCCATGAACCTGAAGTCTCTCTCTGCTTCTGTTTTGTTTTGATAGTTTTAAACAGTTCTTTAAAATTTAAACCCAACAAAATATCATTAATGATAAAAAGGATTCTTGAATTATTGCATGGCTTTATTTCCATCGGACTGTTTATTTTTGTGGGATGAGCAGCGGACCTCTTCTCCTCAGCTCACAGTAACGTGTTCTCCTTCTGTCTTCCTGCCACGCCAAACAGACAGCACACACCACAGACAGCACACACCACACAGACAACACACACCAAAGACAGCACACACCACACAGACAACACACACCAAAGACCACACACCACACAGACAGCACACCACACAGACAACACACACCAAAGACCACACACCACACAGACAGCACACACCACAGACAGCACACACCACAGACAGCACACACCACAGACAGCACACACCACAGACAGCACACACCACACAGACAACACACACCAAAGACCACACACCACACAGACAGCACACCACACAGACAACACACACCAAAGACCACACACCACAGACAGCACACACCACAGACAGCACACACCACAGACAGCACACACCACAGACAGCACACACCACAGACAGCACACACCACACACAGCACACACCACACACAGCACACACCACACAGACAACACACACCAAAGACCACACACCACACAGACAGCACACCACACAGACAACACACACCAAAGACCACACACCACACAGACAGCACACCACACAGACAACACACACCAAAGACCACACACCACACAGACAGCACACCACACAGACAACACACACCAAAGACCACACACCACACAGACAGCAAATCCCACAGACAGCACGCCATGCAGACAGCACACCATGCAGACAGCACACCATGCAGACAGCACACCATGCAGACAGCATGCACCACAGACAACACAACACGCTGACAGCACACCATGCAGATGGCTGCCAAAACAGTTGCTACTGTTATTTTCTTCACCTCAATCCACAATTGCACTTCATTTAAAATTAAATGCAAAAAAGAAAAGAAGAGAAAAGCATATGCAAACCAGAAACAGTCAGGAGGCAGCAAAACAAAAGTTTTAGTAAAACACATTGTACCTTGTTCATCTTGTCCACCATAATACCTCCCACTCTTTCCCCAAACTGACTAACCACTGCCACTAAAGGAAAAAGAAGACCTACACAGGTTGTGGATTTCAGAACCACAACAGAACCAGAATCCACATGATCCCCCTCTCTCCCCACCTTTTGTCTTTTCCTTTCTCTTTCACCTCTGACTCCGTGTCGGAATTACAAAGCATTCAAAAACAATAACAATAAAGTTTTAAGTATCAGGCGTGACATTAAAAGCAAACGCTTTGATGCTCCACCTGAGAGTAAATCTGTAAGGCTTGTCACCAGCATTCAGACATCAATTCTGTTTGCTTCACAGCCAGACAGGACATAGGAAAAGAAAAAAAAATGCTCTCCCTAATTCCTGCATTAGCCACCAAAAAAAAAATACATTAAAATAACCAGATAAAGAAATGCTCGGATCATCATGGGGAAGGCTGTTGATTTAGTGTCCAGGAGAGGGAGGTGCATGCCTCGGCTAGTAGAAGCTAGCCATTCCTTCAGGCGTGTGCTGTTTGTGGAGATTAAAGATCAACATCACAGCGTAAATGGAGGCACTGGAAGTTGTGTTGCTGTCAGCCAATCACAGACAAGATGTCTGAATATCATGAATAATATTAAGCAAAACTCCAAATCATGTCGTTATCCGACCACTCTAGTGTTGCCAAGCTTTCAAATAAATGGAGGATAACATGAAACAACAGACAAATACATGTTCTCTGATACACTTCACCTCATGAAGCCCAGGTTTGCATCCTCATCTAATGACTATACACAGTTTAGTAGTATTTGATTTGATATAAACAGAATAACTGACTTTTTTAAAATAAAACTTTTTAAAAGGTATTTGGTTGACTGAGAAAACTGTCTTTTCACTGCTAAGTAAGATATTTTATACTATTCTGTCATTTTGTGAATCATTAGACTTCAGTAATAAAAATGCAGTTATTTAAAAAAGTAAAGATTTGAAGTATTTTTTTTTCATCAGGACATTAAAATCCTCTTGGCCTTTCCAGGTCTAAAGCTCCGCTTCAGCTAAACACAACTTTGAACTACATTTTACATCAACCATTGAAAAAACTCAACCCAAAGAGGAAGCAGTTTGTGAAAAATTAATCAGGATTGTGCTAAAAAAAACAGCATGTTCTGACAGAATATTCACCCGTTCACTTAGTATCTGAACCACTTATTCCTCAGTGGGTTGCGGGGAGCTGGTGTCAAACGGCAGCAGTCCATCACAGCACCACACAGAGACTCGCCTTGGGATAATTTGACTTATCCAATGAATCTTACATTCATGGCTTTAGTTTGTGAAAAACTCAGAGAAAACCCACGCATGCATGGAGAGTTCACACAAACTCCATGCAGAAAGGCCTCCACTGGGACAGTGGCGTGTCTAGATCTATTAAAATGGGGTGGCCCAGGTGAGGCACAACTTTGTGCATGGGTGGCACCAATGGTTATGCTTTTTTTGTTTTACCCTCAAGCCTTTTGTAGACAATGAAAAGCCTATTTAAAGGGAAATTAGTGTGGTGGCTCCTGGGGTGGCCAATCAGATTCCAAGGGTGGCATGTGCTACCTCAGGCCACCCCCTGGACACGCCCCTGCATTGGGAGTCCACCCCCAAACTTTCTTATTGGAAGGCAACAATACTACCAACAGCATAATTGTAGCCCATCGGAGAAACATGTAGCTCAAGATACCAGTTTTATCTATGTTCGATGCTTTTGTTCTACTTAAATAAAAAAAAATACAAATAAATCATCCTTAAATAAATCAAGTCTGAAACCACTGGTTGGTTTGTTGTCTTCAAATGAGACATTTTGTGTCGTTAAGTAGTGAACCAAAGCAGAGGCACCAACAGGAAACAGGAAGCAGTGTGTCTGCTCATGTTGCTATTTTCATCTTAGGGAGATTTGCTGAGCCGGCATGCTTTTCTTCTGCCGAGGTGTGTTTGCTCAACGAAGCAGCTGCAGATATTAACACCTGGAAGGAGTACTACCTTTTAACCCAACCCCAGAATGTGTGTGTGTGTGTGTGTGTGTGTGTGTGTGTGTGTGTGTGTGTGTGTGTGTGTGTGTGTGTGTGTGTGTGTGTGTGTGTGTGTGTGTGTGTGTGTGTGGGTGTGTGTGTGTGTGTGTGAGCACACATTACATAGGAGTTTCAAAATAAAGCTAACTGGGTGTGCTTACTTCAGTGTAGGTGTTTTTGTTTGTAACTGTAATTAAATAAAGCCTAATTAGTGGTTAATGTATCTGTAAAATTTCAAGACAAATCAAATTGATACAAAACTCAAATACTGTAGATTCTTGTGTTACACTTTGAAGAAAATAATGTGAAACCCCCATCACCCCCCCCCCCCCCCCCCCCCCCAACAGATCATTAGAGTTTAATCGTAAACCATAACAGAGCTCCAAGGTGACTCACCAAATGCGTGCTTGGATAATGTAGCTGAACTCTGCTGCAGCTTCACCAGCCCTATAATAACATCTTTAAATTGCAATTTCAGCCCAAACATTGAATTAAAACCATATGAGACTCAGAGAAGAGCTGATTTATTCCCACTAACTGGCCTTGGAGAAAGAGAAGCACTTTTTTTTTTACAGTTCAGCTTTTTATTTGTGTTAAAACGGCTTCACGGTCGCCTGTCAGCACAGAAAATGGAGCATAGCTTTTGTTGGTGATGGATTCAGTGTAATCCAAGCTGTGGGTAGCACATTAGCGGGCATGTTGATGTGTGCAGGATTCCGATTTGGCTCAACTCAAGATGACTTACGACTGAAAAGTTCTCACATTCATGAGTTTTTGCAATAATATGACTTGTTTGAACGTTACCGTGTTGTAGTAATTGTTGGTTTTTATATAACAGAGGGTAGGATGAAAATCGACAAAATCTGTTTTTTTTTCTTTTCCTTTGAGTATCAGGTGATTTCAGAGACCTTAGAGATTTTCTTTGATGGGTCCTAAACATCTAGTCAGAACTCGGCATGCGTAAACGATCTTTTTTCTCTCATATTCCTAAATCGTATCACTCCCTCTCTATTCCCGTCTTCCTCTACTGACATCCAAAGTCCAGTCTGTGTATTTTTCCCTCTTCATGTGGCTCTGTCCGTCTCACGGTATTCCCCTTCATCCCCTCAGGTGACATCCAGTCGTGCAGCCCAGCAGCAACAATCCCACACTGGTGCAGGATCAGGTGAGTGCTCACTGATAAGTCCTGGAAATAGATTGAAGATAATAAAACACAAAGAAAGAAGAACATTCTCTTTTTTTGTAATTTATTTAACAACTTGAAGAGGAAGAAGGTAGAATGCCTTCTCCAGGTCAGGGACGAGGTTCTGCCTTAAGTATTTGAGGTTTATGAGAAGATCGGAGATCGACAGGATGATTGGCGCTGCGTCTGCAGTGATGCGGGCGTCGTGCCGGTCTGTCGTGAAGAGACACCTGAGCCTGATGGCGAAGCTCTCGATTGACCGGTCGATCTACGTGCCAACTCTCACCTATGGCCATGAGCGTCGGCTAGTGACTGAAAGAACGAGATTGCAGACAAGCGGTCAAAATGAGGTTTCTCCACAGGGTTGTTAAGCTCTCCCTCAGAGATAGGGTGAGAAGCTAGGTCATCCGGGAGGGGCTCTGAGAAGATTCGCTGCTCCTCCACATCAAGAGGAGCCAGCTGAGGTGACTCAGACATCTGGTTAGGATGCCTCATGGACACCTCCCCGGTGAGGTTTTCCAGGAGAAGACCTAAAGGAAGACTCAGGACACGTTGGAGGGACTATGTCAGGGAACACCTTGGGATTCCCCCAGAGAAGCTGGCCCAAGTGGATTGGGAGAGGGAAGTCTGGGCGTCTCTGCTTAGGCTACCGCCCTCGTGACCCGACTCCGGATACGTCAGATTAAAATGGATGGATGGATTTAATTACTAAACGTTCCCGTTTCCTTTCTGTGTTTTGACCAAACTCATGAAAACCTGTTTTCTTTTCTGCCTGATCAAAATCTCACCCCATCTGTTTTTTACATTTACTTCCTTGTTCAGGTATCTACTATTCCAGCTCTACTTTACCTGTGCAGCGCGTCAGTTCCCCTCTGTCAGGGGGAGGAAGCTCAGGGTCAGGTTCTCCCAGTAAACACCAACGTCTGGGATCAGACTCCACCAGTCAGCGCTTGCCCTCCAACTCCTCCTCCTCCCCCAGCAAACAGTCTCCTGCTAATCGACTGGCCAAGTCATACAGGTGGAGAACCGCATGCACTGCCACACTAACCCTGGAACTGATGATTGGTGTTGATACTGACGCAGAATTATACAGATTCATGGGAGAGCTTTAACAGATGGCTCGACTGTTACATAAATATTCCACAGGAACAAAATGGGAAGGAACAGTTTTTGTGTCGTCTCTTCTCAGACAGAATTTCTTTTAATTTTGAAAGAAAAAAAAGTATCTTGTTGCTTTGTCCTTTGTTGTCCAGCACCACAGTTGCTGTGACAACCACTGGAGGGGGTTCTCCTCTGAGGGTTGCTTCTCCACCCAACTCTACAGCCACAGGAGGAGGGACCAGCTCATCATCTTCCCCCCTCCACCAGGTATGTGATGATTTAACAAACTATTGAACACATGAAGTGACTAGCATAAACAGCGGCCATCGTTAGGGGTTGCATTTCCTCTTGAATGTGATGGACGCCGGATTCTTTAGTTTTGTATGTTTTTGTAGATGAAGATGCACTTAAGTTAAGAAAACTCACAAACTTCACAGAGTTGTAGATTATAACCAATAACATAATGGACGAATGGAGGCAGTGGAAGAGGTGTGTTGCTGTTATAGCCAATCACACGCAACATGTCTGAATATCATTAATATTAATGAGTAAGACTCTGAATCCTACCGTTTTTTGTTCTCATTCCTCCAGCTAACTTCTGCTTCTTAATAAAAGAGCACCAGAGCTTCTTTCCACAGAGAACAACTCACAAGGCATTCATTCATACTAGAGAACACAACTCATGTACAGAAAACATGAGCGAAAGAGAGCTGTAAGAATGGCCTAGCCCTGGGGTCACCAGCCTTTGTGAAGCTGAGCTGCTTAATGGGTGTTGAACCATACGGTGGTCTAACGTCATGTCTAATAAACATAATTTATTGCTGTTAAAGACATTGTAGTTTTTTTTTTTATATAATAATGGATTTGTGATTAAAAAGATGAATTTTTTTGTTGTTTATTGAAGACTTGTGCTGTTTGGGTAAAAGGCCTGTGGGGACCCTAAAGCACATTCACTTTCCGCTTGGTGATGCGGCTCGCGCTTCACAACTTGTAGCGTTTATGGTTCATGCGGCTCGTCTCTGCGGTGAGCCAATATTCTCCCAAACTGTAGGGGGCAGCATGGAGCTCTACGGCATGCATCCAACATTAAACCGTAGTAGAAGTAAAAATTACTGTTGTTTACAACATGGCATTCCAGCATTTTTTAACAGCGTCCTCGTCTTTTCCGACAGTGCGAGCTATTTCTCTCCAAGAATTATTAACAACATGTTGATCACAGTGATCTTTGAGAGCTGAATCATACAAATGTCTGTATTTACGAACCTCTGCCATACTAGTTCTTGCCGGTCCGCCATGTTTTTCTGAGTCCGACCGTCCGCGTGGTTAGAAAATTTCCTAGGTGCGCGGTGCGGAAATTTTGGGCCGTGCGGAGACGCGGTGGAGGGGCGTGGTTAAAATGACGCAATTTCACTGCGCTGAGCTGTGCGGACCTCGCGGACGCGTCAAACATAAACCAGCCTTTACCTTATTTAGTTCCTGAGGACACCATGGTGCTCACAGGCACCAGGTTGGTGACCCCTAGTCTAGCCTCAAACAACGTCTTTCAGACATGGACCATAAATATTAACATTATAAAGTAAACAAGATTCTGGTGTTTTGTTTGTTATTCACTTATTTTTGTCAGATTTCTGCATTGAATCGTTACGTCAACATCCTTGTTTTCAGACAAGAGTCTGTTGAAATTTAGAATGCAATTAAAACTAAATTATAATCTTAGCACAAAAATAAGAAAACATGTTTTTGTTTATTTCTTAGTTGTAACAATAAAATGTTTCAGGAACGGCTAATAAGTCACCTGTTCAACAGGACATACATTGGGCTGCATGTGCATTTCTGACAGGAGCAGCAGACAGTGTTACCACAGTGTCATGCACTATATGCTTAGTTGCTTGGTGGACCTGGTGGTTGCTCTTTCTCGCATTGCTCAGGAGAAATGCAGAACATTTTTACACTATTCATATTTAAAGTATCAGGGGCCTCAGTAGCATGTAGAGGAGTTGTGTGCAGCCACGACAACTTTGCTCCTCCTCCTTTCTCTGTGGGTCTTTAACCAAGAGTGGCTGGAGACTAACCAGCTTAGTGGTGTTGGTATTCCCACAGCATTCCCAGTCATTCCTGACTAGAACACACATGTTTATGGGAAGCAGAGAGACCTAACAGGAGAACATTGCATAGGCTAATTGAGAGTTGGGCTGCTCATCCAATGGATGCTTGATCCTTCTGCAAGGAAGAATTTTTACAACAAAAACATAATTAACTAAACTAATTTATTAACTTAATCATATTTTGTTAAATTAGCAAAAATAAAACCCAAACATTTTTGTTCTACACAGGGTTGGACATTGTGCTCACTTAATCCATTTAGGAAAGTTTCTCCCCTTTGAACAAAAGCAACGTTTTTTCTGATGAACTCAAACTGGAGTTTAGCTTCTAAGCCAGCTGTTTATGTCATCAGCTGCCAAGACGCAGAGTTCAGCGAGGGAACGCGTGAATAAACGCCTCGGCCTGATCTTCCTACTAAGGAAGGAAAAAATGATTATTGACTAAAAATGCTCTTGTCTTTGCAGATGAGTTCAGGCATAGGGAGCTATGCCACTCTGTCTCCCAAACGACTGGCAGCTCATCACGCCTCAGACCAGTACAAGATCTCACACGAACTCTACGCCACTGCTACTCTCCAACGGCCTGGAAGTCTTGCAGGTCAAGCTTTACTCATTTATGCAGTTTTACAAAGTTGTGCATGTTTGCAAAGAGCCAGACAATTGCATTCTCCTGGTCGCTTCTGTATGTGGAGCTAAAATCTTGGGTGACATCTTTGAGTTTAGCGACTCCAACACTGACAGCTGGTCCAAACTGGAACACGTTGTAAAGGGTTAATTTATATGTTATTTAATGAACCATGAGACATGAGATTCCATAGGAAATATGAAATCAATCTTACGGATCTTTGGGTACTTTTAACCAGAAGATTGGAACTTTTTATTGCAGGGATTATGTAACAACTTAGAGACAACAGAAAGAGGGTCAAGTTTTAAAAGTTTAAAGATTTATTACTTAACAAATTAAAACTAGACTAACTTTAAACACTAAATGCATGGTGTAACTAAGGTGAAGTGAGATGGAGAATGGTGTTGTGTGGGATGTTGTTCAGAACCAGCCAATCCGGAGAAACGATTAGTTCTGATGGGAGTGAAGGTGATGTCTTCGCGCTAAGCTTTGATTCGGAGATTCGTAAACATATAAGACGCCATTCTGTCGCTCCACACATACCTTTAGAATGAGACCTCCGTACAAATCCAGAATGCCAGGTCCTCGAAACCCTCTTTCGGTACCAGAGCCGATGAAACAGCGTCAGCAGTACGACAGACTAGTCTTTGGACTGTCTCCAGGTAAAAAGCGACAGTTGGTTGACAACGTCAAATGGACCCGGAGGGTCAATGAGTTCAGCTTTTATTCTGAAAGGAACCGTTGCTTGGTTGGTAAAGTGCAACAGATTTTATCCAGCTTGTTGTTGGTTCTTTCAGCTGAAGAGGAAAGTTACGGATTGGCCACTCCGACAACTTCTCTAGAACCCTTTGAACTGGCGTTAAAGATGACGTGGGCATAGTTTCATACTTCGGATGTTTTGGTTTATGGTCGAATGAAAAGATGACAGATTTACCAAGCACCACCAAAACCACGCCTCCATCAGATCTGGCAGATTCTGGTTTGATCAGTAAAAGCAATGTGTCATGTGGCTTAACCTTTCGTGGGATCAGTCTCGAGTGGAAACATTTAAAGTCATATTACTTATTATATTCTGTAGGATTATAATATCAAGTAATTAATATTTTCATTTCACAAATTGGTTCATATTTCATTATTGACTAACACTTTGTTTGATTAGCTTATTAAAAATAGAGTTCTTTTGATTTATTAAAAAGGTAGAGTCCTTCTTCATTCTTCTCTTGGGCTGGAAGGAAGCAGTTTAGAAGCAGATGCATGAGACCTTGAACAATATCTCATGCAGATTAGTTCCTGCTGAGGAGAGGGGGGAAATGACTTTTAGGTGGAAAACAGTCATTTCATTCCATTACAACGTTCTTGGGTGATCAAAAGTCTTACTGAAGATCCATCTGCTCCAGTGAATTTTATGTTCTTGATCAGATTTTGTTTTCAAATGTGAGTTAAAAAGTTTCAGCATCAGTCTTGGAACCAGCAACACGGCCAGGAAGTTCTATTTCATAAACAATTTTGTGTCTTTATTGCAGTTTAGGGTTAGGACAGTGAGGCGTCATGGCAACCCAGTTGGTTTTTAGATGTTTTACTTTTTTTTAATTAATATTTTATTAGGTGAAGCATTACGAGAGGGAAGCTTTATCTGCTACCCCTGCTCTCTCTCTCTCTTTGATCACTCCCTTTTATATGTTTTCTTCCCTTTGAAAGAAAGAGGTCAGTACTTCCACAAGTAGGCCCTTGTGAGACAAAAAATAAATGAATAACAAAATAAAACTGATTCCAAGATGAAAAGCATGAGAGGACGTTAGCTTTGGATGAGTCATTGCATCAACTGGTGCGTTCATGGCTGTAATTAGCACTACTTAATGCATGTTCTGAATATTTCTGCTTATTTCTCGCTTCTTTTGAATTAAACGTCACTTTGTTTCATTTCAAGGTTAGTTAGTTTTACGATGTCCAGTCTGATTCTTTCTTTTTGCTGCTTTAGTTTGACCCTGGCCTCGCTTTTCTTCTTATTTATGTTTTTTCCTGTTCCAGGATGTAGCCTTACATTCAGTCATCTGTGAAGGTCAACAAGCCTTGAAGTTAACTTTGTTGACCCTGACACTGAAATGACCGATACTGTTGTATGTTTTATGTCGGTGTTTGCTTAGCACGGTCCTGAAACTGCACACTTGCTTTGATTAATGCTGTAAACTTTTATATTACATGTACTTTGCAAGAAAAGGATGTTTTAGATCAGTTACAAAACTTCTGTGAAAGACAAACATAACTAGACTGGCTAGCCATCCTCTGTCTGTAAAAATAGTTTGGCCACGACCCATAGACAGAGCTCAGTTGTAGGAGCAGAAGCTGTTGTTTTGTAAAACTGTCTTTTCATGAATTGGACAGCTCTAGGGCCAATCAGATCAAGAACAATATGACATTTATTTCTATTGTAGGAGCCAAGAGCTGTGTTTGTGTACGTGATGTTTAATATTAGGGATGAGCAAGTACACCACTATCTGTATCTGTATCTGTTCAACCATCTAAATTATCTGTATCTGTACTCGGAGTGGGCGTGGCCTAACCCGGAAGTGGGTGTGGTTTACATCAATACGCTATTTTAAGTCTGATCAGAAGTTGCTATGTGTATTGTTTATTTGAAAACTATTTACAGAGCAGCCTCAGAGTTGAGATTAAATGTTTTTGATCACAATAGTAAAGGAACTATTACAGAACAAGTGTTTCAATAAAATCAGAACATTAATATTTAAGTACATGGATTAAGAGAGAGAGAGAAGAAAATATCTTTTCTATAGCACCTCAAGATAAAAATCACGGGGCGCTTCACAAAAACAAAACATGTAAAATATAAAAAAGAATTTAGAAAATTATTAAAATATAGTTAAAATGAGCAAAAAATAGGCAATTGTGATTAAAAAATGTAAAGAAAGAGAGAGAGAGAATAGGAAAGAGGGAGTGGATCCTGAGGAAGAGGAGAAAGAGAGAAGAAAAAAAACCCGAACGGAGCGGAGGTAGTGACTGACGCAGCACGAGCCATTTTCAGCTCTGTCTCTTCAAATGCACCACGTGCGTTATGAAAAAAGTTACTTTAAATGACTTTAAAGTAACTTTAAAAAGAGGCGAACTGAAGAAAACATAAGGAGTACTGAAGAAACCTGAGCAACAGTGAAGAAAGCACAGAGAGATCCGTTACTGTCTGTGTGTGTGTGCGTGGATGGGCCGGACGCGGACTGAGCTGTGAGCTCCCGGCTGCAGAGTTTTGTGTGTAGGGAGGGGTGGGCGCTCTATGTGACTGGCCAATCACAGAGCGTGAAGACAGTCAGTTACCCAATGAGGATTTTCCTTCAGCACGATTACAGATATTTACGAGTTTTACTCGTTTCATGCTCGTACTCGTCAAAAATTCTTTATCCGTACTGGATACTCGTCTGTAACGAGTATCCGGCTCATCCCTATTTAATATCCTGTTTTCAGTCCAGTTTGCATAATTTCCAGTAAGACTAACATTTATCTGAATGCTTATCGGGAAGTCAAGAGCAGCAGATGGTTCCTGTTTTGTTGCATGGGTTGCTGGGAAAGACTTCCCAAACAGTTTGCAATTCATGTGTATGTGAGACCCATTTCCTAAGCTATGCAGGAGTGACGTCAGTAAAAAAGTATAACTGGGTGTCGCATTTTCGGTGTAAGCGGGCTTTTTCTGAGATGCAGCCGGAGGCCCGTTCCGTTCTGGCTGAACGCTGTCCCAAGCTACTGGTGATGCATTACTGAACTGTACAAATAAAAAGCCCCACGCTGTAACAACAAAGTTGTCTCATTCTCTTGTGTTTTGATAAGGAAAAGAACCTCACTATGTTGATCAGTCAGCAGGGCAGTCCTCCATACACCCATCAAAGAAAAAGCACCTCTATCTATTCTTGTCTCAAAGAAAAGTCCAGTATTTCAAACAAGTGCTGTCCTTAAGCCCAGCCATCTTTGTTTTATGTTGTTTTATGTCATCTTCGTAAAAAACAGAAGCTCTGCTGTAATGACACCAAGTCCACCCAACATCTCTCTGGAAACATAGAGCGCAGTGATTGGCCCAGCCTACACTTAACTGGGCCAATGGTAGACCTGCTGAGGGTACAATGGAGCATGGCTAGACCAACCTGCAGAGCAACATCGTTTTACTACTACTAGGGTTTGTCTTGAAGTCTGGGCTAAACAATGACTTGATTAAATTCAAAATGCTGTTTTAATGAAACGGCTTTCTAAACCAATCTAGCCCCAAGTGAAGAGGAAATTAACCTCTAAATCATATGACTGGTAACAACCTTGGCAGCAACTGCAGTAATCAAGCTGTGGAATCAAGATCGGAATTCTTGGTTCCATCATTTACAGCAGGCCATCCCTGTCCCGCAGCAGCATAGGTTGCCCAGAACATGACAAGGCCACCAACATGTTGGGCTGATGACATTCTGAGATGTGTGTGAGATTTAGATATTTCCTCTGATGTAAGTGGACACACGCATTTAAAAACTTCCGCTTTTGTCTCGTTAATCCATCAAATATTTTCCAAATAGTTCTGAGTATGATCCAGGGATTTTGGGGTAGTTGTGAGGTCGGTCTTCGTGTTCTTTTTGATCAGCAGCTTCTTGGACCCTGTAGTTTTTCTCTTCTCGCTGTCACGTTCATAGAGGTGAATGCGTGATTCTGACCTTAACCTAATGAGGCATGTGGTGCTTTAGATGTTCCGGCTTATTTGTAATGGATGTATTTAGAAGAAGGTATGCTATTTTGCTTTTTGAGATCTTCTTCTCATGATCAGACTGATTCTATTGAAGTTATTTTTTAAATACAGGTGGCAGTGATCAGGTGTGGTTGAATCTCAGCTTTCCACAGAATGTTGATCACTACTAAACCAGAATATGAACCTTCTAATAATAATTTTTTTTGTGCAGGACCAGGTTGGTTTGGGTAGATTTTTACCCTAAATGAGTAAAATCATTCTAACTGTATTATTATTATTATTATTTTTACTCTGGTTATTTTAGTCTGATATTAAAATGTGTTTGCTTATCTGATCAAAGCAAAACAATATAACAAAGAAATGTTTAGGGACAAACACATTTTAACAGCACCGTAGTTATTCCTGCTAAGATGACAAAGTGTGCTTTTATTTCTGATTTGATGTCAGAGTGAGAGCTTTTCCTTCCACGGATTGAATGTCGATGCACTGCTCCTTCATCCTCTGGAAAATCCGTAGCACACGCGCTGTAATCCACTGAGAACTAACGTGAGATGATCAGACATTAGTTCCACTGGACAAGCACTCTGCCTTCCTTTCACTCATTCCTTGCTTCTGTGTGTGTGTGTGTGTGTGTGTGTGTGTGTGTGTGTGTGTGTGTGTGTGCTTTATCTTCTGCCATGTCAGCTGAGCCCTTCTGACTTTCCTCTGTATTCCACGAGTATGCCCGCTTTATACTGTTTTCTAATTTAGTTATTTTGTTGTTCTCAGAGAAAGGCCTGTGTCTTACATTTGTCCTGCTGTGTTATGAACAAATGTCTGCTGTCAATTTTCCCCTTGCCCTCTGTCTTTGGGATCTCTGCCAAACACAGAGCAAGTGGCGAAGGAGGGTGGGGGCACCGCATCTCATTATTTAACAGCTGACAAAAAGTGGTGTGTGCCACGAAGATTAAAAAAATTTAATAACGTCACATTGTCCCCGTTTTGTCTGTCTCTCTTGATCTCTGTGTATTTCTGCCTATCTCACTTGTCACCGTGCATGTCTGTCTTGCTGTGCTTTCCTTGTGTGCTTCTGATTTAGTGTCGCTCTAACTCTCCTCTTACCCCACAAATCCCCCCACAGACAGGCAGTCTCTCTCTCTCTCTCTCTCTCTCTCTCTCTCTCTCTCCCTCTCACCCCCCCCCCCCCCCCCCCCACACGCACACACACACACACACGCATGGAGTCATCCTGAGCTGTCAACCTCTGCACAGCGGAGCAGATTAAATGGACAGGTTCAAAAACAGGTCAATCATGTTTGTTTGCTGCTGTTGAATCAGTTGTTTTTCTTTATTTTTTATTTTCATAATTTCATATTTTTTTTGATATTCTTATTTTTCTCATGAAGGAAACTTCTGTCTTGCTTCACCATCTCTAACCTGTTTCCCCCCCTTCATCTCTGATATTCCCTTCCTACTTATTCACTTAATTCCTTTCCACGACCTCCTCCTACACACGTTGCAGGGGTCCTTTTATTGTCTTATCCTTTTTTCTTTGCTATTGAACCTCACATTCTTTTCTCTGCATTTCTCCTCAGGGTCCCGTGGCTCCTACAGTAGTCAGCACAGTCAAGAGGCCCTCCGACCCTTGGGGTCTCCTGAACACCACATAGATCCCATCTATGAAGAGCGTGTCTACCACAAGGGCCCCATGAGGAGCCTTAGTCAGAGCCAGGGACCAGACACAGGCCCCTACCGCAACAACACAGGTAAAAATGGCATCTAAGTCTTTTTGTTACCGTTTATTAGATATTTTTTTTTCAGCCACTTAATAGGTTGTGTATTGGCATGAATGTAGTGACAGCCTACAGTTCTTTTCACAATTCAGGAAAGACAATATGACATATTACGATACTAAGAGCCAATTGATATTTGCTCATTTTAAGACTCAATTGGAAAAATCAGGCCACATCCAGTTTTATCATGAGATCTTGTTGTTCCGTCGAGCCAAGTCCACACTGGAGGCATCGACAGCGTGGAACGGCAGTAGAACATCGCTGCTTCAGATAGAAGTCTATGGGGTTGATACAAATTGGCCCTGGCGTGGAAATTTTCAGGCGTGTTCCAGAAGCAGCTCACAGCGCCGCAAAGCTAAAGATAGGATTGGTAATTTTCTAATGCAGAGATGCAATTTCATATCTATGTAGGTTACGTCTATAGAGCTCCTGGAGTTGACGTCACTTCTGACTATGTAAAATGATTTCTTTGGTTTTAAAGTGTGAAGTAAACTCCGACGGAGTAAAATCCAAGCCGATCCCGTTCATTTTGTTTACCTTTGTTTCCTGCCAATATGGCGTCTACTGTCTGAGAGTCACGTGATGTCCGGAGCTCTATACGTGTGACCTGACGGCTAATTCGAGAATTGCATTGGTGTGATCTTGCGAGTCCAGCAAGCATGGCGGGGGTGCTGCTCTGCGACAGAGACTTCTCTGGTGTGGATTAACGCACCGCTAAGCTCACGAGTAAACCGTCCCGATCCCGTTCCACACTGCGGATCCCTCCCGTGTTAACCCAGTCAGAATGAAGGCGGTAAAAACTGCCACCTAGCAGTTGGAGTTTGAATTGCATCACAGAAGAAAATCAGTGAATGTTTGCATAGAATTAATTTTTTTTACAAAAAAATTGACACACTGCTTTTAAATCTTGAGTCAGTATCATTTTTGCATATTTCATGTATCTGTGTTATTTTTTACATCCCTATTTAATACTCTAACAAACTTAAATAAACTGCTTTCTTTTCTTAAACCAAAAAAACCTAAATGTTCATCTGTTGTGAAATATATGGGTTGAGCATTTTTAAATTACTTATGCATTTTCTTTTTTCTTTCTGATAGAGAAGAATATAGATCAATCATCTTCCTTTATGGAAACTTAAAAAGAGGAACTCAAATGAACTTTTATGTGAATTTCACTTTGTCCAGCTTGTTTTTCATCGTAGCGTCTTTGATTGTAGTTCATTGCTTTATTGTGCTCTTTCAGTCTTCCAGTTCATTCGGAATCATTTATTTCTCAGTGAAAATGCCAGTTTTTCACTTATTAATTATTTTTTGCAAACATTTCAAAGTTTTTAGGAACTTTTTAGTGTCATTCCCTTTCCCACATCTTATAAAACAGCATCAGTAAGGTTTGTAAGATGTAGTTTAGTATTTTTAAAGTGCTAATCCAACAGTGACTGAACTGATTAGGGTCCGATTGGATTCCAGCAGGAACTAGATTCTCTCTGGTTTTGTCTGTGAACTGGAGGGATGATGATAGCAGTACCGCAAAGTCTGAAATGATTAGTTTAATAAAAATCTGGTGTGCTGTTGCCAGAACTCATCTGATTTAGCTTAGATGACAGCATTTTTGAGGTTCAGTTTATTCTTCATGGTATGTTATTGTAAAGTGCAGTATGCCTGTGCTGTTACTGAGAATTTCAAGACTTTAAAAAATGTCTATTTAGCCCTCAACTGAGACTTAATTTTATTTTTAAAATTTTTTAGTATTTCTAAAACTACATTTTGACCAAATAAAAATCCCATAAATCATAATGGGACAGTTTCTTTCTATAGTCAACAATACTAGTAAAAAGGATTCATAAATGTATGCATAGTGTTGATAAATTTTTCACAGTAAAAAAAACTCAAAAAACGCTGTTTAGCATGCCGAAAGCAAATGCAGAAGTGATGGATGATGGAAAAGCAGATTATGTTGTGTTATACACACTCACCTAAAGGATTATTAGGAACACCGTACTAATACGGCGTTTGACCCCCTTTCACCTTCAGAACTGACTTAATTCTACGTGGCATTGATTCAACAAGGTGCTGAAAGCATTCTTTAGAAATGTTGGCTCATATTGATAGGATAGCATCTTGCAGTTGATGGAGATTTGTGGGATACACATCCAGGGCACGAAGCTCCCGTTCCACCACATGCCAAAGATGCTCTATCGGGTTGAGATCTGGTGACTGTGGGGGCCGTTGTAGTACAGTGAACTCATTGTCATGTTCAAGAAACCAATTTGAAATGATTGGAGCTTTATGACATGGTGCATTATCCTGCTGGAAGTAGCCATGGTGGTCATGAAGGGATGGACATGGTCAGAAACAATGTTCAGCTAGCCCGTGGCATTTAACCGATGCCCAGTTGGCACTAAGGGGCCTAAAGTGTGCCAAGAAAACATCCCCCACACCATTACACCACCAGCAGCCTGCACAGAGGTAACAAGGCATGATGGATCCATGTTCTCATTCTGTTTACGCCAAATTCTGACTCTACCACTTGAATGTCTCAACATAAATCGAGACTCATCAGACCAGGTAACATTTCTCCAGTCTTCAACTGTCCAATTTTTCTGAACTCGTGTAAATTTTAGCCTCTTTTTCCTCTTTGTAGGGGACATGAGTGGTACCCGGTGGGGTCTTCTGCTGTTGTAGCCCATCCCCCTCAAGGTTGTGTGTGTTGTGGCTTCACGAATGCTTTGCTGCATTCCTCGGTTGTAACGAGTGGCTATTTCAGTCAAAGTTGCTCTTCTATCAGCTTGACTCAGTCGGCCCATTCTCCTCTGCCCTCTAGCATCAACAAGGCCTTTTCGCTCACAGGACTGCCACATACTGGATGTTTTTGCCTTTTCACAACATTCTTTGTAAACCCTAGAAATGGTTGTGGGTGAAAATCCCAGTAACTGAGCAGATTGTGAAATACTCAGACCAGCCCATCTGGCACCAACAACCATTCCAAGCTCAAAATGGCTTAAATCACCTTTCTTTCCCATTCTGACCTTTCTGGCCTTCAGTTTGGAGTTCAGGAGATTGTCTTGACCAGGACCACACCCCTAAATGCATTGAAGCAACTGCCATGTGATTGGTTGATTAGATAAATGCATTAAGGAGAAGTTGAACAGGTGTTCCTAATGATCCTTTAGGTGAGTGTATATTGTATATAAGGTTGTGTATTGTGTTTTAGTAATGATAATGGGTAGAATTTAGTGTATTCTTCAAACCACTCCTTTTTGAGCACAGCTATCTATAATATTCTAGAAAAGTCAAACATTTTTTGTTAGTTTTCTACTTATAGAAATATGTGTCACACCCTGTCCTGTCTCCCCGTTTGGTTCAGCCATGTGCCTCTGTTGATTGCTCCCACCTGCCTCTCGTTTTCCAATCACCCAAGCTCCCAGCCCTCTTGTATTTAAACCCCTTCAGTTCTGTGTCTCGTGTTGGATCATTGTTTCTATGTTAGCGTGTTCTCCATTAAAACCTTTAATCGTTCATGTCTGATTGCCTACCTTCTGCACCCGCGTGTGGATCCTCACCTCCGCTTCACACTCCAGCACGCCTGACAGTATGTTGTGTTTAAAAAAATTTTGGAAGGAAATATATGTTCAAACACAATTAAATTCAATATGTATGTGTGTATATATATATATATATATATATATATATATATATATATATATATAATCCAACATAACATAACAAAAATACTTAACTCAACTTAACAAAACTCTGTTTAAACTAACTTAACGTAATCCCACAAAACAAAACATGACTCAACGTAATGTAACTCAATGTAACGTCACATAAAAACTTCAATCAGCTTGGCTCAGTGTACTTTTAATAGCTGATGCAATGCTTTTACCAAATTTTTATGATTGCTTTCACTGACATCACATGGGAAAGGAAACCATAGCATTCATATACAGGTGCTGGCCAGTAAATTAGAATATCATCAAAAGGTTGAAAATATTTCAGTAATTCCATTCAAAATGTGAAACTTGTACATTATATTCATGCAATGCACACAGACCAATGTATTTCCAATGTTCATTACATTTAAATTTGATATTCATAAGTGACAACTAATGAAAACTCCAAATTTGGTATCTCAAAAAATTAGAATATTCTGAAAAGGCTGAATATAGAAGACACCTGCTGCCACTCTAATCAGCTGATTTACTCAAAACACCTGCAAAGGCCTTTAAAAGGTCCCTCAGTCTTGTTTTGAAGGCACCACAATCATGGGGAAGACTTCTGACTTAACAGCTGTCCAAAAGACAATCATTGACACCTTGCACAAGGAGGGCAAGACACAAAAGGTGATTGCTAAAGAAGCTGGCTGTTCGCAGAGCTCTGTGTCCAAGCACATTAACAGACAGGCGAAGGGACGGAAAAAATGTGGTAGAAAAAAGTGTACAAGCTCTAGGGATAACCGCACCCTGCAGAGAATTGTGACGACAAACCCATTCAAAAATGTGGGGGAGATCCACAAAGAGTGGACTGCAGCTGGAGTCAGCGCTTCAAGAACCACCACGAGGAGACTCATGAAAGACATGGGATTCAGGTGTCGCATTCCGTGTGTCAAGCCACTCTTGAACAAGAAACAGCGCAAGAAGCGTCTCGCCTGGGCCAAGGACAAAAAGGACTGGACTGATGCTGAGTGGTCCAAAGTTATGTTTTCTGATGAAAGCAAGTTCTGCATTTCCTTTGGAAATCAAGGACCCAGAGTCTGGAGGAAGAGCGGAGAAGCACAGAATCCACGTTGCATGAGGTCCAGTGTAAAGTTTCCACCGTCAGTGATGGTGTGGGGTGCCATGTCATCTGCCGGTGTTGGCCCACTCTGTTTCCTGAGGTCCAGGGTCAATGCAGCCGTCTACCAGGAAGTTTTAGAGCACTTCATGCTTCCTGCTGCTGACCAACTTTATGGGGATGCAGACTTCACCTTTCAA